ATGTTACGCTGGACCAGAACAGTTTACAGACAAGCGTCTAGATGGCTGTCCACTCCTAGGTTTCATATGCGAGAATGGTATACGAGGAAAACTACATATGTGTCGCCGCGTCTTAGTTGCAGGCGACCTTAAAGTAAGTCCTCAAATTGAATCCATCGATCGTCAAAAGTGTGAGGATGTAAGTCCTTGGGTTCCTGCGTAGATTTGCCATCTCCTATAATAGATAGTTATTTACGTACGACGGACGAGTCCGGTATATCTATCACTACCTCGATGATTTTGTCGTGCAGTCGGATCACAGTTATCACTATCAGGTCCATCGACATCAAGGCATGATAAGATTAGTGCTTAGATAATTGACTGAAGAAATACTTAGCTTGATTATACATTTAGGACAGTGCTTAAAGTTCCAGAAACATGCCTGTGCTAGCGAGTGCATTTAGGAAGGTTTCTCAAACAATTTTGGTTTCCGCAACTGAGAGTTTATACGGAAATTCTAGACGTTTTGCGCCGCTTCCTAGTGTCTGAATATACGCTCATATGACGGAGTTTCACCTGTATTAATTATTTTATGAGTCGCTGCTCTCTCAAAAGTCGCTTGTGCCGCTCAGTGGTCCGTTTCGTAAGATAAACTTACTGGAGCCAATGTTACACCCTAGTAACTAGTTTTCTCTCACTCAGCTAGGGTCTGGTATCAAACGACTTTATGCGTAGTTTTGAGAGAGTTCCTTACTTTACTTGGACACGTTTTGTGTGCGTTCTCCGCCAAGTGTTTGAATGGTGATACAACAATCTGCACTTTAGGACTACGTCCTTTATAGTTTCGTGAATGGACTAGTCAGTAAATATATGTAACCATCACTGGTTCATAGCAATTAGCGAATGTGTCTATATTCCACGCAATCATTGGTTTGAGCTACCCGTTTATTGTAGGTTTGAATCACCAGGACCGAGAAAGAAATGATCGAATTTTCGTTCTTCAGATGGCGGTATACGTTGTGGCTCTGTGTCATTTGCTAAGGCTTGTTTGAAGAGGAGTCATGGAAAATCCGAAAGTTACATGAGTCGGTCCAAAGAAAGGTGGATGAAAGGGTATCGCCTCAACATCGTTTACTGATTGTATCGTCTCTCGTGCCAGTCGTGGTTCCCTATAGTAGGCCGAGTTTTCGTGCCGTACGATGCTATGCGCTTGGGTAGAGCCATCTAGACATTTAGACATTTATTTTCCCACTTATGTCGGTAGTCCAGTTGGGTATCTTAAATGCAGTTCGCGCTAGGAGCACTAGAACATACGATCGTCAGCGACTCGTGCGCTCGTCTAGAAGTAAATGTTTTGAGAGGCAATGGGGTTTGAGTTTTTGCTAGAGGGGTAGGCGCATGTGCGGCACTTTTACGCCCCGGGTGATCTTGTCATGGGAACTATTGAATTAGCTCCCAGTTATTAGGCAGTTGCAACGTGTGCGTATATAGCCGCTACTTTAATGGTAGTGAGTGTGTTTTGATGTACTGGTATGGATTGTTTCACGAGTTATTCTCAGGTGCTATCGCTTGGGAGAGGATGGAGGTGGTCATATTGGGTAGAACTCAGTTGTTTGACTGAGCCAGTGTTTCAGCTGTCCGTGCAACCTGCCTCACGATTTTACGTGTGCCCCAGGCTTGGCTGCCATGTTTAGCTATGGAAACTGGATTCCCGAGCACAGATTCTTTTGAAAACAAAAAAGAACATTTTTCCAGATTTTTCGATCACTGCTGCTGTGATTTTTGTATTTATATGCCAACAAAAGAGATGGTCGCCTATCAAGTGAGACGGCATTATAAGTAATGCCAAACCAAAAGTAAGTACTAACTAGTTAAAGTACAGTAAAATTAACTAGGCTTTTGCCTACTTGAACACAAACAATACAAAAGTCCGTAGATAAGTTTACCTAAACCTGTGTGTACTGAAAACAGATCACATGCTTAAAATTATTACCACTGCATAGCCTTTAAATGAAAGTAATTATCCACTTGAGAAAAATAAATATGATTTGACCAATTCTTCTTCAGTTCAATCAATTAATCCCGTTTTCCACGTTAGCTTATCCCCATCACCTAACGAATCAACATCGGAAAAATTATTTAAAACCCTTTATTTTTTGTGGATTAAACAACTTGATGTACGCTGATGAAACACAAAGTGGAATGATTTGTGTAAATCTACCATAAGCATTTTCGGAATATTTACTCAGAATCGGACCAAGTATCAGCACAAGACGCATTTCCGACTGAAACTTGACTACAGTAATTTTCCAAATGGTTGTTTGTTTAAGCACTTCTTGGTTTCTTCAGTGCCAACCCTGGCATGGGATTTGGCACACATCGAACTAGTACACAGATATAACAAAAAGGAATGAAATAGCTGGATGAGTTTTCGATATCCTACTGCTGACTACAGGTATACTCGAACAGCAAGAAAATGGACGATGAAACATAGGAAATGGAAACCCGTTAACCATTGGGTTTACCATGAAAGTTTTCCTTTAAACCGTAATCATTTAACAATGAACGTGCCTAACCATATTTGCTTTTGACAGTTTCGATGGCTTGAACGCACAAATTAAAAAAGAAAGCACCAGTGTTGTTAAGACAACATGACCAGTACAAATAGTAGTAGAACAGTTTAGTTGCTTTCCATTGTTATTCCTCGTTTCGCATCGAATGATTTTTGTTAAGCCAAACATTTTTCCTTTGGGATAAGAAAAATAACCAAAGATAATTGTCGTCTCTAACTACCGTATTTATAGTTATTTATATGATTGCATGTATCGCTGCTTGGGTACTCGAAACAAGCTGCTTGCAGATTTTAACTGTGCATCCCTTTACAACAACATAATGAGCTTACTTTGATAACCCTGTGTTGTTTATGACGTTTATTTTTGCTGAGAATCAAGGAATTGGTACAACGGGTGGATAGAGTTGGCTTTCAAGCAACCTAGCTCATAATGTGAGGAGTTGAAACCACCGCACTGGTATGGCACTAACAACCTGGTAGTCTACCGGTAGTGTAAAATTTGTCCAAGCTGTCATTAACAAATTGTGAGTAAGTACACTTTATAAAGGTATTTACAAAATGGAGACTACTTTGTTACCGGCAATTAAGCTGCGTCCCACATTCTGATGCTTTCAGAGGCATTGCTAGGCAAATTACATCTGTTCATCTAGCATTATTCCGGGTTTGCGAAAGTATGGTATTTGAGTGTGTCACAGAGAATAACGGTTACACTAATTATGTCCGTGTTTAATCAAGTTGTTCCAATAGGAAAAGCATATATACATGTTATGCAATTTCAAAACATGCATTGAAATCAATGCAATATCAGCTGCGCTGACAGGAATCTGCCGATTACCTTCTCATCTAATCCTTATTTGGATATTCTTCACAATTTATCTATTACAAACGTTTAGTAGAAAGTACCGTATTTCATTATTTTTTGATCTGCCTTGCGCAAATAACAACGCAATATACCCGATAGGTAGTATCGTGATAATCAAAACGTATTACGGTGGTTTTTAAGATTATCGTGACTATTGCATCACACCTAATTATTTACTCTTATCACAAAAAACCTTAGTTGCAGTCATCATCAAAAAGCAGTAAGTCGAAATCATAACATCACAGCAGGACTGATTTTTACTGACGTCATGCTCATGAATATCTGTAGGCAGTTGCCGCACTTAGAAGAGACGAATAGCATGTAATCCATTGTTTGTTATCATTTACCATTATATGCAAATTGTTATTAATATGGTTAACTAAATTGCATTTCGGCATTTTTGTCAACGACTGTTAATCATAAGATATAAAAGTGTGTGTTCAGAGGGTCAGCTATATTTATGTGCATATGATCTATGTGTATTATATTTGCGCCTTCAGTTGTACACCATTATTCTGATGGCATCGCTGATCTATATGTATATACATATATATATATATATATATCAACCACGGATAGTTGTGCAGTATTGCATTCTGTGTCATGTAAGGAATGTTTATTATACATAAAGCACTTCAATAGTGACACCAAACTCAAAGGAAATGGTGACTGTCCACGCCAAATCAATGTGTATTTATTTATTTTTTCACTCCTATGGACCAAAATAAATTAGTCGTAGAACAAGCCGTTTATTTGAGCAAGTGATCATCCGACCTGGCTTCTTATTGACAAATAACATGCCGCTAAATAGTCTGACACTGAAAATCATCTATCGTGCTCCGATGAACCAAAGGAACTACATGCGCAAATGAATTCCTGAAGATGCGGAGGCTAGTGTGATGCTAATCTAGGGGTCAGAGCTGTATATTCATAAAAAACAAACTGGGGATGTTAGGTTACCTCGGCACAAAGGCCTTAACACTTCTGACTTATGAGGTCATATGCAGTCGATTGCCGCCACGTAACGGACGACCAATTTCAAAATCCACTGCTGTCATTTGACTCTCCCCAGGAGTAAGGAGTGGTGAGGTCATTTTAAAAAGTTGTTTTAATTATTATAATACTGTAAAAGCCTGAAGATGAACCAACAAAAATCTATATTTGCTCAATCTGATATTGCTATATATATATATATGCATATAAAAACAGCTTCTTATTGCTAAGTTAAATGCAACGACTGTTTATTAACCAGGATGCCAATGTTACCTCCTAGAAAGCTGACCTGTATTTAATAGTAATATTTGTAAAAAATACACCAGCAAAACATTAACGCGGACTGCTCTACAATGTTTAATGGGAACGAGTACATCTGGGTCGTTACAGTTTGTCATGTCAGATTAGAAAAGTAAAACTTATGTATTACTTAAAACCACAGGACATTTCTTTTGCTTCAGCCTGTACCCGCTAACTCGTAATCACACCGAATTCAGAGAGAAACCTGATTTTGCACTACATAAATGGCATTATAAAATAAAGGTTACTCCTCATTTGCATTGTAGTAAACTTGGAAGGAAAGTAGGAACGTACCTTTTCTATTCGATTCCTGAGACTCCTGCTACGGAAGCAACAAAGTGCAGAGATAACGAAGAGAATTACAACTGACAATGCGGCGAGTATGATGGCAGCCACTGCCAATCCAACAGCAATTCCATAAGCGTTGTCTTCAATGTGGCTCGGTCGCACTTCAACTGGTAGCACTTCCAGCACCCGTACGGATGGGGTAGCATTGAAAATGGTGGTTTTGAGGTAATCCACTGCAGAGGACAAGCTCAAGTCTGCCTGCTTTAGCAGCACCTTATCAGTGGATGCATTTTTAACTGGATCGAAGAGAAAGTTCAACAGGCCACCAGTTTCCGTTTGTGCATAGGAAGAGGAGAATTCTTGAAAATTTTCCGCTATTATTCTGGCGGCACACATTTCGGCAGTGTTTGTGTTAACGCGGAATACCCTAGAGTTGCAAGTGATGTGAGTATATTGCATAAAGTAATGTAGCAATGCTTTTATGTGCGGTCAATATGAAAGAACGTGTAACGTTTTGGTGGGTTTTGCACTATTCTCCGAGCTGAATGATTATTTTGCAGACGTTCCGCTGTCAGACCAGGCAACATCATTAAGGCGGCTTTAAGGACCTGTTTCGGCAAGCCCACATCCCAATGTCAAATATAATGGCTACGGATATTTTCAACTACACAATCTAGTGGCACAGTTAAAAATAACTAGATGCGCATAGAGTGCATAGTATGCATGCTTAATACATCTTCCGTACAGATTATAGAGGTGGGTTTTGAAAATTGGTCACACGCTTCCAGAAACTATTTCCATATCAATAGCAGAGTATAGATTTATACATAGAAGCTTCAGAAACCTTCCCTGACGGAGTGATGATTAAATTCCTCTCTAGGTAAGACCAACAAGTCAAGAATCGCAAAAGTAGTTAGCGCATATACGTCTATCATTATACCAAGGTCATAGGCTGAAAAAATGCGGTGTAGATGCTGCTTCGAAACTTTATGATAGCTTAAACTAACGAAAGTAATCGGAGGTAAAATGGATAAATAAAGGTAAATAAGAGTGATGCACGACCATCGACAGTCAAAGTTGTGAGGAGAAGTGTTACGTGTTCCGAGAACAACAATGAAACATTTCCTATTGCTCTCCGTTCATTTACATCAATGGCGTACTTGGAGTCCTTTACAGGGAGCCGAATACGTAACTGGCACAATAACGTGTTACAAAGAGATGCTGTCCTCGTTCCTGTAGTGCTATTTTGCCAAGTTACGCAAATAAGACATCCTAAGTAATTAACAAAGCCTAAACTCGCATAGGATGGCCGGCATGAAAACCAGTGTAAGTTAGTATGAGGAGCCAAATTTGAGTTTCTAACCATGAAGTGCAGCAAGGTGGATGGTCCAACAACGTATAGCATCTTCCACGCAGCATATCTCAAGTGGACGTCGGAGTAAAGTGCTAATTTTTGACGCCAGGGCTGCTTCTACTGCGAGCATCAATTGGCCGGATTAGAACAAAGTTTGAAAATTAGTAGATCATTGAAAGAATCCTGAAAGTAAATTCTTCGTAATAGTTTTCTATGGATACGGAGAAAAATTCACACTGAAGTTTTCACCAAAGAACACAAATCACTAAGACAGCTTGCAAACTAAAAGGTCCATTCTTGCCTTCGTACCAGCGACGCTGATCCAAGGTAGTTCATAGGTTCAGTTACCATAAGCATCCGAAAGAACTGTATATAGTCCCAGCAATCAAAACTACTAGCCAATTAAAGAAATATACTACAAGCTACACAAGCAACAATTGTGATCCCAAACCGAGAAGTGTGAAAAATGCAAATCCCCACGAATAACTGAGATTTAAGCTGATCATTTGTCTTCATTATTTGGAACAACGCATTGGGATGACTAACCATAACATTTCGTGTTATGTGGATACTAAAATTCACAGTTGGATGAGCTAGCGGATGTAATCAAACACTGAACATATTTGAATCATCCTCCTGCAACTTAAACTACATATGGAATGCAAATGGACTACTTTTGGAGGAGATGAAGGCCCCAAATGCCCAAACCAAGAAAAGTAAAAGAGAAGCCAAGCAGTGCTTTGACAAATTGTGGTATTTTATTTAAGAAATGAAATTATGTCCTCATTCACTTTTACTATTCTATCTGCATCGATTAACTTGGACCCAGTTGGAAAACTCACAATGCAAGTTATCCCCTAACCGTCGAGCTAATAAGAGAATTTGAAATCAAAAGCTTAAGAGAAATAATGGACCCTTGTATTGTCATTAATTTTTCTACTGGCGGGAACTTAGCTAGGGAACTAAAAGGAAAACTCTTGAGGTTATCAACGTAAAGTCTGATTGCCCATACTGTAATGAGAACACCAAAATGCATTGTACTATAAATTAGCAACCCAAATTTTTACTCCGATAAGCTGCTGAGAAAATTTCGGTTTTGCTCTCTCCCATCACTGCATTACCGCACACATCATGCGTCCTGCTCTGCAAGCGTCATGCGGGTTAGCACAAACCGCACAAGAGGCGGCCAACATCCTTGGACAAAAATTTGGCCGTACATTCCAAAGCGCACAATCATCATACATCCTGTCTAAGCAGTTAATGCCGCCATCAGGTCTTAATCACATATCGTTTACCTCCGTAGCTGTACTGAAGAGGCTGATGTCTCTGCGCGAGTTCAGCTCCCCAGGTGCGGACGGCATTCCCCCGAAAGCGTTAAAAGTTACTGCCATGAGTTTGGCAGGACCACTAACAATTTTTGTTCAACGATATATGAAAAAGATGCACGTCCCCAAGATATGGAAGCACGGAATCATCACGCTAATCTACAAAACTGGCAGTTGTGCTGAACCAGCAAATTATCGCCCAATAACACTACTGCATGTGATATCCAAGGTTATGGAGTCTAATGTAGCTGAGACTTTGATGGGGTACCTGGAGAACAACAAAATTCTCATTCCGGAGCAGCACCGATTTCTCCAACTTCGCTTCTATACCACTAATACGTTGATTGCCCGTGCTAGCTGGACGGAATCTGTGGACGCTGGTGTAGGAGTCGACGTGGCCTACTTGGATTTCTCAAAAGCATTCGACCGTATAGACCATCGCATTCTCCTCCACAAACTCCAGAAATATGGAATCGGCGATCCTGTTCTGGGCTGGATAGGAGACTTTCTCGTGCAACTTTACCTGAATGTGGGGGTTCGAACCAACATGTGTCGGAATCCATCGAAGTTTAGTGCGGCGTATCTCACGGCTTGGTACTTAGACCCCGCCTGTTCCTGGTCTTCATAAATGATCTCGCGAGTGTGCTAGCTTCTAACTGTTTCCTATTTGCTGAATATCAAAGATATCGCGTACTATAGCTACAGTGGAAGATCACACTGTGTTACAGGAGGACCTAGACAAAGCGTACATTTAGTCCATGGAGAACACGCTGCATTTCAAAGTCACCAAGTGCAAAGTTCTCAGCATACGGCACAAGAGCATGCACAAGTAACGTCTAGGACCACAACTTCTACAGCGGGCTTCTCACGAGTGCGATCTCGGCGTGATAGTTCAAGATGACGTCGGTTGTTTGAGGCAGGCTGAACAGGCAGCTAAGAAAGCAAATCAGTGGCTCGGCCATCTTGGCAGAGCTTTCGGGAAGTATGACCCTTCAGTCTTTCCAAAAATGTTTAGTGCGTACTTGAGGACGCAGACGGAATAGGCTATTCAAACATGGCCACCCTGGCTCAAGCTCCATCTCACCGCGCTCGATACTGCATAACGTAGGATAACGAAGAGCGTCAAAGGTTTGACCAGCCTCCTCTACCCACTCAGGCTGAACGTTATCGGTGTATAAGGGGAGATCTAATAATGGTGTACCAGATCCTGAGAAACCCCAACCACATATGCCATTGCCTTCTGATACTCCGTCAACACACCGCGCTAAGAGTTCACCAGTTTAAACAGGTCACGCAGTACAGCCGCCTGGAATGTCGGTGCAACTATTTCTCCTTTCGAGTGTCACAGCCATGGAGCGCCCTTCCGGAATATGTAATTAATGCTCCCACGCTATCACTTTTCGAAAAATGCCTTGACGATACTCTGTCACACTTACACTACGTGCTATAGCCCATGACCACCAGATGCTGGCACTAATGCACAACAGACAGTGGATAGTGCCATCAACCTACTGGAGAATGAGTCACTCCAAACCCCGTGAGCAAAATCTGATAAACGCTACTACTGTAGAAACTGGATTTCTGTATCCCGTCCACCCAAGATGGGTGCACACTAGTAAGCGTTGTCATTGCTACCTGTTTTATTTTTCTCGCCTATGATGTGAACAATAACCACTCCCCTGTTGCTTTGTGTGTGCGCATTCTCATTTCAAACTCCCTCTGTACGACAGTGCAGTTAAATCTGTAATCGCCCGAACTGACGACTCCATTATCCCTTGGTCTATCTTTTCTTAATCTAAACGCCCTACGGGACATGTCAAGCCCCTGCTTTTTACCTGTTTTAAATCAATGCTCATTATTCATTTCACCCTTATTCTATATTATCAGGTAGAGATAGCGCGAGCTGGGAGTGGGACACAACATACAACATTTCGAGGTTATCGTTTTGATCACTATGATTTTGCGCTGTGCGAGCGGTGCTTGACTCAATTTTCGTAGGGTTGTCAACACAAAACAGAACGCTTTCGAAATACACATGACCAAATAAACGACAATTTCAAAGATTATGAGTTCGTCACGAATTTGCTAAAATGCAAGGGATAAGATTTCGTGCAAGTACTGGTGGCAACTAACGCCAGTATCAAACAGATGAAGGCAAAATTAAGTGATAGCTTGGTGCTCACATTAATCAAACAATTAAGTACAAAGATACATGCGCAAAGTTATATTAAGAAAGACTGAACGGTATCGTAGCGTAGCGTGTCTGGAAATAAGAGAAACAGTTGATTGATACCCTGCGTTACGAAGCTGCAAATATTGCTACACATTTATTAGAAGGCGACTGGGTTTAAAATGCCTCAGGCGCAAAAATAAACATTTATTGATTAGGGCGTCCAAGGATAAATAATAATTCTGACTTAAAAACTTCAATTAACTAATTACACAGTATAACAGATGGGCATGAAACAGTTGTCACCCAAGGTGAGTTTATTTTTAGACCCACTAATACAAACAAATGGGCAAGTGAAAGCAGAAGGAATTGCAATGAGTAAAACGAAGACTACATTCGACGAACAGGAAGAAAGCACCAAAGTTTAGTCAACGATCACAGCAATTCATATATTGTCGTGGTACATTATCTTTGATTTCAATACATGGGAATGAACGGGACCCGCTTCTGGGCTGGACAAAAGCATTCGTTCAAACTTTTGCAGTTAGAAGCGATCAAGTAATTGTATGGCATTCTGCAACTACTTGAATCCGTCTAAACATATTATCGGATAAACTATACGCAAAAGTTCGCCAAATCAAGTGGATATACATAGTTGAAAATAGCACTAGACCAAGGACTTAGGCAACAGTTTCACTCGCTGAGGCAAATAGACAAAATTTGCGGGACATAGACAGAAAGTGACACTTTTGATGGTTAACTGCTAATTGACAATAAAAACACGAACATTTCAAAAGACCAAAGAAGATGGCCTAAAGAAATGAAATCGCTCCATTACGCCCAGTTCAAAGCACTAACGGTGCCTCCTAGATTAGCACCGAAACATTTGCACTTAACTGCAAGCTCAGGAAAAATCACGACCAAAATTGCTCCATGGATATCTGCATTGCGTTGCTGAGTACCCCGGATACTTCTTTAAACACAGCTTGTCTTTGCGCCTACCCTCCAGGAGGTGCGCCATACTTCAGCTGGATGCTTTAATTTCATTAAACTTCATAATTTCACAACGTGCCAAGATTTGCATTCATATCTTTATTTAGGTAAATGTAACTTTTAACAAATGTAAGAATCTTTCACTCAAGCCTTCGCCTCAACGACACACCTCCGTCCCTTCACCGTTCAATCCTCTCCTCCTTATACTTCGCAATAACTTATAATAACTAATGGCGTTTTTTGCCTCACTTGTTTTACCTTTTATTATGCGCGCTTGATTCCTGCAGTTACCCCTCTAATTGGCAATATACCAGATTGAATTATGTGGGCAGTAATGATATCTGGATGAGAGGTTCCGTCCAATTTGTACAGCGGATATGCACCGATATTTAGACTTTATCATGCCATAGTTTCTTTTTACCTAGCTATTTATGGGGCTAATCTGGTAACATTTTTAGAAGAGCTGTATGCCTTACTGCACAAACCAAAAAGGCCAAGAATCCAAGAAGTATTCTAAAGTTTTCATATTTCTCTCTTTCATATATATTTGGCCCGATGAATTAAAAGTTGCATGTGCCAGAACGCTTGCTTTTAGGTGTTTAAGACCACGGTACTGCCAACATTTCGCTTCACGTTGCACCCTACAAATTACGTGGCAAATAAATCTCACCGATTTCAAAGTTAACTGGGTCTCATTGCATGTTCATTTGGAAGGGAAGTAGGACAGATCGACTAAATCAAATAGCCGCCATATATCTATCAAAACATCAGACCGCCGTTTCTTCATGTTAGAATTAATCGTTAACACACATGGCTGAATCTAGCTGGACAATGAGAGCAATAACAGCTTACATGCCTCCTCGATTACTGACGCTAAACCCAGGTAGCACTGGTAGCGTCCAGGTTTTGAAATTTCATATTTGACATAGAACGCTGGTGGAATCGTAAGTACTGGGGTTAAAAATTCGACCTAACTATCTTTGAAGATCATCAAGCTAGAACATCGATGATGGTTCGCTTTTACTTTTGGTTTGCAATCATCAGAAGATTATCTGCAATTAGATGATTTGATGCTGCTCTTATTTAGCAAACTTAAAAACATAAAGGGCATGCGGAACTGCGTTTAGGTGAATACCATCTGCCCAGGCATAAAATACAGTCGAGATAACTTTTACGGTCCTGTACACGATTAAAGCTGTGGCTCCTGTCGATACTTCGCAAATGCCCAATAATGCCCATACTACTCACTATTGATAAGTAGGTGCCTTAGCAACTTACATGCCGCCTAGATTTGTGACGGGATAAAAGTTAGTCGTAGGTTTGGGAGCCGTCTTTGCAACTGCATGTTTGTAAAATGCATGCCAGTGAAGGATGAGATGTATTGTACCGCAGTTAGTTATCATCCATGTGTCCGCAGCCGTTTCACATGGTTCAGTGGCTTAGATGACTGGCTGGTAAGAAAGTAAGGTCATTTGTTCGGATCCGGTAGGATCTAGCTGATGCAATCATTTGGTCAGCGTTTTCCTACATGTCTGTTGACTCTTTGGCTGAGTCTAGTTGCGATGAATTTGCTCGAACACAAATAACCCCCTTACTTCTCACTAGTAATCAGTACTCTTCTCAGTCTCTTGCATGCCAAATCAATTGGTGGCAGCTTGCAAAGATTGTGCAAGTACGACTTCGCAAAGCGAATGAGAATGAAAGAAGTGCCACGCTACCAAGTGGTTATATATCCTTCACGACCGTCCGACACCGTCGTCTTCTCCCATGGCTTAGTGGCATAAGTTGCTGACTGGTATGAATAAGTTCATGGGTTCGGATTCGACAGAATCCGTCGAATATGCATTACTGACAAGTCTTAATTAGATGGAACCACCGCCTAAAGCATTTCTGGATACGTGTTGTCTGTTTAAATGAATACAGCTGCGAAGGCTTTTCTCAAAACCCATAAAGCTATGATCACGCCTTTGACTGATTGACCTAAAGAAACTCGTTTGCCTGACTTCATCCCATGGTGATTGTGATAATGCAATGGTTATTTGGTAGGTATTTTTTACAGAATTCGTCATATATTTAGTGTTAGTTGCAATTTTAGCCTATTCAAAGTCCCTGATTTTGCTACAGTTTCCTTCAGCATACAGCTGACAACGCAGGGATGCAATTATTGACTAGTTAACTGAAAATTTTCTTCCATTCGATGAGGATAAGTACAGCCAATCATATTGTTATATTGACGCGTAGACGCTATTTTAATAACATTCAGTTTTACGTATGGTAAAAATAGGGCCTTTCGTTGCTTTCCAAATTGCGTTCGGGACAGTTAAATCTTAATCACACTAATATGCACGACCTTGCAGCTGTAATACAGAGAGACTTAAACGTCATGTAAACATAATATCTTAAATTAATCCCTTTTGCTTCGTTATTTAACACCAACACTTCCGTGTGCACTCATATTTTGCGTCATTCAGGTTGCACGTTTACTAACAACTCTTAAGTTACTATGGTGAAATCAAAATGCCCTTCGCTCAAGTAGATAAGCGAATAAAGGTCCACTCTATTACAGGATGTACGCTTAGTTCTAAGGATAAACTAATTTACCCAACTGGATGCTGGATCGTTGTACCAAGTATTTCACAAATGCTCCTGCGAACTTGATATTCAAGCAACTCTGAAGAGCATGTAGTTTGACTTATTGCATCAAGAGTTCCCCTCAACTTAATAAGTTTGCTTCATCTGTCTATTACAGTATGTTTTACACTACTCGACAATATTACGGAATACTTACCCTAGTCTGTTGGGAAAGAAGTCTAACTATTTAACGGCTATGCTTTAGGACATTGACGATGTATATCAATTATTCTCAGTACTGATCGTTTTACAACACAATGAAGGTAGATAGTGCTGAAAAGCAAATTCCTACCGATGGTAGATCGCTTCATTCCCTACATAGTATTCGGTGTTAAAATAGTTGAATCCAAAATCATTTTGGAATGATGATGAGGTAACTACAGAAATGTGTTTGTCTCGTAATTTCTGCAGGTTATTTTGCATAAAGTACGTGACGGAGAAACATATATTTAACTTACCAACATCTTCATACAACCTGTTCGGGGTAATCACATATTTGTTTTAAGTATTCATATAAGGCACAGTTGGTCATATTACAACAAATAAATCGATACAAGCAGAATTAACATTGAGCAGTTACGGTGAAGTTTTGAGTTTTGTAGTGTGCTTCTTGTTGATTGGTTTGTGTTCTTTGCGTGCCTGCATACACAACTAGATGTACACACAAACGCATCGTTTTATACAGTCGGTCGTACACGAGGGACCGGAGAATGCCAAGTTGCCTGAATGGTAATTGTCTCTTGTACTCAGCTTACCCTTCATTTGTAGACTGGCATGTCTTTCTGGTTAAAGCCAACCCATGGTTCATAATACCAACCTTTGAAAACAACATATGCGAGAAAAATAGCAATGCCTTTAAGGCTATAGTGCGTTAGTTTTTGTATGCGCCGAAGAGAACGTGAGCTCTTACTCGAATTTTCTCTTTGTGAAACAACCAGTGCTGCTAAAACAAATGGAGCCCTATAGTTTTTAATTGAACGTCATCTCAATGAGCAGCGCATCATTGACTTGCTGAGAGCATGTAATCCATACTGAATACTAAGAAGTGGGAGCGAGATGATAAAAATCTGTGATACTCAGTCATACGTAGATCGGGCACGTGCGCTGAATTCCGTCGTTGGTTCCTGCGCAGTAGTAGGATATTACAGCTGCACTACCTCTTTTCCGGGTGCAATGCTCTCCATACACCCGCAGTGCGCTAGGTGGGCCTCAAGTATTCTCGGAACATCCGACACCGATTTCGCCTCAACTAGCGTCACCGACATCTTGCTCTAATATTTCACCACGACGCTGGAAGCATAGATGATGAGCCATACGCTTTAACTCCGGTATCATTAATTTGTGTCAGTGTCTGCTGTTTGGTGCGCGAACGTGCAGCAGCGGCCTTAACCTAGGGAATTGGCCCAGGTGCAGCATCCGGCGCGTCATAATCAAATCAACTCGAAGCTGACGATATGACAGGGCATAAAGCCCTAGCCCTATAAATCGGTCCTCTTACGACATAAATTGTAAAATGGGGATGAGCTGGGTAGCAACATGCTGGAACCGTTCGAGTCTCTGCACCTCAATAAAGTGTGGCATCTTCACCATGAACTCGACCGAAGACGTTTGGATTCAGCCTACTCGTGCAGAACATGCAACGAGCGACATCCACAACATTGACGATCAAGTTTGCATGGACTTTATACCCAAGGGAAACAAGGTCTCTAGCTCCAGGACTGTAGCGCAGGAAGATGGGTTGAACGTGTGCGATTTGGAACCGAATGCATCAGCTACTGAAATTACTCAATGCTAGTTGTGTGCACTTCATTCTCTATGAGGTAAGAGAAAGTAATCTTATAACCGATCCCTTCTGGTTCTGCTTAAAATGTACGGCTATCCACCCGTCTGAGGTATAGCTGTGTTGGTGTGAAAGTGTGACATTGACACAGATTGTAGAGCATGCAACCGCTCTGAGAGCAGTCCCACATGTACCAGACGAATCAGTATCTCGAATTTGATGCTTAACAGCAAACTCCAACTCAGAGCACTGTAGGTAGATGAACATAAGGGCGACGACCTAGAGTTGGCCACCCCGGAAATTCATCGTGAAAATAGCCATGTTTCCGTGGCACTCAAACTTCACTAATGTAGTATTCACGGGCGAATTTCTGGTCCCAGTGAGAACCGAATCACTAACTTCTAGACTGAATTCCGTTCTGGTCATGTTTATAATGAACACATATTTACTTCTTGACGATTTTAGAGCAAGGGTACATATACAAACGACCGACAGTGATGATTTTTCTACTTTATAGTGGCGCCTTCGACCCGGTTTATCGCAACAGCTTGTGATAATGCGTATCTATGAAAGGCATGTCAGCTACGTTCCATTTGATTATGCAGTCTCTCTGCCATGACTCTCGAGGTGGTGTAGGGACCTAGGCGAAATTGTATCCTGAACTTTCCAGAGCAATTAATGTTCATTAACCTTGTCCTGTACACCTTTCTGGTCAAAAGTGTCATCAAAAAGAGCATGTATGATTTTGTTCTTTCAGAATCTGCGGAGTGGCGGTTCTTCCTGGTGACCGACTGACTAACCCGGAGTATGCGGAGGACAAATCTCTCCGTGATTCCGACGCAGTATCTAGGCAAACAATACTGGATAGACTGGCGCGTAACGCTAAACGCTTCCTCGTGTGCCTTACATCTTCTTAGGGCAATGTACTGTTGCAACCCTGAGCAGAAACAACACCGATTTTAGTACTCACTCAGCAGCCAATGGAAGTGGTGGATCGGTTCAATTACCATCTTCTCTGTGTCACCTCAGTTGCGCACATCACCGCAAAAGTTATTTAGCGTGCCAACAAGGCTAGTGTGGCTTTCTAGGAACTCAACCACCTATGGAGACGGCAAATATCAAGTCTGTCAGTGAAAGTTAGGGTGTATAACGCTGCGGTCCAGTCGATCTCACGTTATTGATCAGAGACTTGGCCATTATGCGGCGAAGGCATTAAACGCTTGGCCTTGCTTGGTTTTTGGTAAGAAGGTTGCTGATTCATCTGTTCAGTGTTTACTGAATATTACGTTGGTTCGGTCGTATCTTCTGTATGTTCGTCGACCGGCTTCTTTGGCGGACATCCTACACCGTGGCCGCACTATGTTTGTCGAATCCGCTAGGTGGCCAGTCCATGAGGTGGTATCAAGGCATGAAGAAATTGACTGAGAGACTTTCTCAGGCTCGTGCATCCTGTCTTCGTGGATGGAGGCCTTAGGATGGTCCTCATCACTGCTTAAAAACCGTACTATCCATGGCGCGTTCACGCAGTCAGTAGCGTTCTTACTTTCAGTTCCTTTTAACTGAGCGTTAATTTTCGTTCGATTATGATTAATCTACTCCCCTTCTTCCCTTCCATTGCCATGTGCCGTTGCATTTTATCCTTATTCTTGCTATGTAAGTAGTGGAAATTAGATGCACCGCACTTCGGTGCTCGGATCAGTTGTACAGCTGAACTGAACTGAACTTACATACAAGGGTCTGTTCATAAAGAGGCGTCCGCAACAGATGTTCCGGCAACGTCACGCGCCACCTCGAATACTTTTGGGGGATCGACAATATACATTACGTTGTTGCTGCCCACTTGACGGAGGAACAACACAACATAACCCAGCTCGCTTCCAAACTATGTTCACTTGGTACTACAAATACACTAACAGGTTCCAGGACCCAAGCAGTTCTCCATTCAACGAAGGCAGCGACGACTGAAACATAATCCGGTGCTGAAACACAATTCATTAAACCAAAATACATACCTTAATCTATGCACAGTTAAATTTCAACATAATTTCCCTCAGAACCAACGTAACGAGACTGACAAACTAACTGTGCCATGAAACTGGACAGCTATTCGATCCAACTTTTCCTCGTCAGATACTCCCTCGTGTGAAATAGTCTACCGGCCAATATTAGGTTTTACACAAATGCGAGAACACTACACATTGAACTGAAAAATTACTAGGACCAATACTGGATACTGACCATGTTTCCATCGGATAAAGCACTAAACAAGTTTTTCCAGGTTGGACCAAGTAATACATACCTAGTGAGGAAAGATGTTACACAAAACACAGTTCCAAGAAAAGTCATGCGATTCGAAATATTTAGATGTTACGCTTCATAATACATATCTTAATCATGCATGAACATGCTCGTTACTGTACTCATGATCTGTTCCCAACTCATGGACCGCTTATGGCACAACCAAGTCAAATACGGATTATTATTAGTAGTAGTAGTATTATATTAAAAATGACGGTTATTTGCCCAAATGTGATTGAATCATAGGCGACCTTTATAAAATAATTAGCAACTAGACGAGAGAAATCACTGGGATTGTATATATTACCAGATCTCACTTGGAACGATGGCCCAATGAAGCAGGCGACCAACGCAGCATTCCTAATAGGGATAGCATGAAAACAATATTTGTTCATTGTGTTTCCGGGCTTCTGAATACTCCTGACCATGATGAACAAACGCATGACTGAGAGTAATGGTGCTACCTACGTGAAGCACTCTCTGTTGACAATGTTATTGTCAAATCCTTTTTAAGAGGTCTGGCATTACCTGACTACAAGGGCTGCAATCCTATACTAATGAACGTAGTGTTGCACTCTGAGTTCTACTGCATAGCTGCTTAAAGTTTCAAGCTGTTAGCAAAAGAGATATGGCTAAAAGTAGCAGGCGCACGGTCAAGAGTGGTAAGCAATTCGATGGAATTGGTAAACACCGTAAATCTTTCAGCCGCACAGTCATGCGGAGAGACGGACAAAACAGCACCCACGGCACACAACAGGACAGAGCACAACAAAAGCGAAACATCTGTTCAGGAAAGCTCAACAATGCTATGCAACTTGACTGAAATTCCTGAACCAAAAAATGATTAAAGGCCGGCCACATAAAGATCGGTTTTAAAAAAGCACAAATTTGACATCCAGCAACGCACTCCTAAAAGCAAAAACGCTATCTTTTATGTACACAAACGCGCAACACCTTCTAAGTAATGTGGCCGAACTTAGAGAACTCCATGCCTTACAACCGCGGGACCTCATCGTGATTACAGAGACCTGGTTAAAAGTTGAGATAACCGATTCCGTGATCAATTTACCCGGTATGTCGTTGCTTCGGAAAGATAGAACCGGAAAGGGTCGTGGTGTGATTCGTTACTATAATACAAACCTCCGACTCGGAAATCCGCGATCCTGCTTTACTTTGGTGGCGCCTATAGTTGCGAAACAAGGACACATGTTTACTAGCTGTGATTAACCGCCCACCAAATTCTACGTCTGAAATGGACTACAAACTGAACCACGTGTTGCGCTTCGCTTTGAACAAGTTCTACACCCACATCCTTATCGTTGGAGACTTTAACGTGTACGGCATAGAAACCCCAGCAACCGATGGTATGCAGTTTAAAGCCTGTTTGCAAGTTAATTGCTAGTCACCCTTTGTACAACCACGTAACCTCTCCCACCAGATTTACAACTGCTAACAAGTCGTCGATACGGTATCTTGTGCTCACTAATGAAGAACCCACCGTCGACGAGATAGTTACTAGCACACTACTGGGTCGTAGTGACCATGTTACTCTACTCTTTGACTATATATGCCATGTGGAGTATTCTGAAAAGGAGGATGATAAAGTTCACACTGTCACGCACCACCACGTGTTATCTACGCTTGTTAATGGTACATCTTGGACTTGGTTAACTGAATGCCTCCCAGATGTTGCCTGATAAGCGTTTCCAATGACGTTTAGCACAACGGAAGCGCACGCATCGGAACAGAACTCC